GGGGGGGGGGCATGGTCGCGGGAAATGGCGCGCAGTGCGTTGCACGTTGATGATCGAGGCGACGGCAGGCTCCCAGAAGGAGAGGCAGTATGCGGGGCGGTACTGCTTGAAGAGGGCGGCAACCTTGCGCGAGAGCTGGACGGAGCGCGTACCCGCCTGGAGAGGCTCGGATGCGTCGGGACGCAGGCGGCATTCGAGGCTCTCAAAGCGGCATTCGAGGCTCTCAAAGGGGCTCCGACGCGCAAGGGACGGACGGTCGGGGGGGAAGAGGGGTGCCGTGGCGTGGGCGGCGCGCCGTCTTTGCGGCGTTCCACACGATCGCCGAGTTTTTAAACGACTTGCCATTGTCATAGTCCACCTCAAAGTCGAGATCGACAAACCTGGAGGAGGGCGGGGCGTAGAGAGGGTGGATGTGCCTGGGGAAAATGCGCTTGGGGGAAAGGGAGGGCGTGAGCCCGCCAACCCAAGATGCGCGTTGCTGTGGCACTGCTCTCACCGAGCGTGCGGGAAGCGATGCTTGAGCGCGACGAGCTTGTAGGACGGGACCTTCTTCTCCTTGGCGAGCGCGATGACTGGGAAGTCGACGCCCGCCTCCTCGAGGACGGCAAGCACCCTCTCCATCTGGTGCAAGTGGCCCAGACCGTTAGTGCAGCACGTCACGAGCACTGAGCCTTGCTGCGGCTCAAAGCGGCGGTAGCCCATCAGCTTGAGAAGCGGGTAGAACTGCGCGCGCAGGGCGACGAAGAGGAGTCCGAGGAGGAGGCGCACGAGGAGCTCGGGCATGGTATGCTGATGCTGCGGGCGCCCTGCGGGTCAGTCTTGCCTTGTCGCCTGTGCACGGTACTTAATATATTAAGTACCGCAAGCACCTCCACCCCCTCCTCGGCCCACCGTAAGAGGACGCGCAGTGTGCGTTCTTTCATTGTACCCGCGTGTGTGTCAGCAAGAGTCGTGGCTTGGTGGATCGCGTTGACGTAGTTTCGTGTCGCCAGAGTGTTTAGTGTCGGGCCGAGTAATTCGAGTACACGCCGGGGGATCGGCCGAGTGCTCAGTGTCATCTCAACTCGTCGCGTCCGAGGCTGCCTCAGAAGCTCTCTTCACGTAAACGCACTTCACTCTTCACAGCCTTGTTGACAAGAAAATACGTCCTATGGGGCTATGCGTAACGCATGCGCTAAAATGAAGGCGGGCATCGTGGTTGAAAAAAGAATTTCTCATCGAACTGCTCCAAGGTGTGCTCCTCTCCTTAAAATCCCTGTGTGGTGGCGGCGTGCCGTTCTCCCATCCCTCCCTTGGTTGCCTGTTTTCTTTCTTTCTTTCTTTCTGCTCCAAGGGCGGGGTGCGCACTGTCCCTCTGTGTTCGTGCGTCGCCCATCTCTCCTGGAGATGTCTGCTCTATTTATTTATTTATGCTCCAAGGGTGGGCGCACGCCGTCTTGGATGTGCATATTTCTGCGCGAAGAGGGCAAGAGTCGTGGCTGCGTGTTGCAATCAAACTTCCTGTCGTCTGTTGTTTGTTGTGCCCTTGTTTGTACTCCTTGGCACCGTGGAGTGCTGGGGGGGGCGACAGGGAGGATGTGGCCTTGAGTTATGTGTGCGCCAACTCAGGGTGTGTGGCAGCCAACTGTGAAATGTCCTGTTCCACAGCTCTCATGCACTAGGCTCATGGATGCAGTCATAATATGTAGGCCTTCTCTCCTGAAGTTTGGAGCATGCCGGCAGCTCTGAATCATGGTTGGACGTCGCGCCTAAGCTGCGCGAGGGCGGCGAGGCACTTAGCTCCGTGCAACACTGGGCACGGGGCGGGCGCGCACTGCAACGGAAGAGCTACGCTCAGAGAGGATGGATGGAATTTATTTAATCGTGGTGGTGTGAGCGAGCCCGGCCTCGCGCCGACCTCGCCCACGCCACCAGATGGTGATGATCTTGTTCTCCTGTATGCGAGACACCTAGCTAGACGGGCCTGCGCCGCTAGGGCCTGCGCCGCTAGGGCCCGCGCCTCCCGAGACCTGTGGCACTGCTGGCTCGCGAGCGCGCCCGCGCTTCTGCAGTGCCAGGACTTTGGACATCGGCGGCAGCTTCGCGCGTACCTGTGGGGGGGAGGCGTCGACGACTGCCTGGGTGAGCACACGTCCGGGCTGACGCAGCAGAAAGTACTGCTTCTCGACTCCAGGGTGCGCCACGAAGGCGTCCATGTTGAGGCACCAGAAGTGCAGCTGGCGGAGAGTCGTGACGCGTGTCAGAGCGACATACGCCTGGCCCGGCGCGAAGAACTCGCGGTTGAGAAGCACGTGCACGCTCCCGGTCATGGTCGATCCCTGAACGCGATGGACCGTGACGCAGTGGGCCGGGATAATCGGAAACTGGAGCCGTTTCGCGGTGCCCACTGTCTTGATGCCGTTGACGGTTTCCTCCTTCGGCACGACGCGCAGCGGTGGCTTCGAAGCCGAGTAGCTGTCCGGACGGAAGAAGACCAGCTTTACGCAGCCGCCTTGCACGTACACATCCTCGATCACGCCCACACAGCCGTTGACGAAGTCGTCCTTGACCGACTTGTTATCGGTCAGGACGGCACGCATGCCCTTGTAAGAAGCCGCTGGTCGAACTCGCGCTCCAGGCACGTCAGAGTCGATTTCACGAGCGGATTCGACATGCTGAGCAGGCGGAGCGCTCGCCGCATCCTCGCATCTGAGCCCTGGCCCAGAGTACGCCTTGAAGGAGGCGTCGAACATCTGCAGAGGCAAGGGCGACGAGGCAGGGATGAGGAGTGTGGCGAGGGCGGAGCTAGTGGAGGCGGCGCGGCGGTCGGGTAGCTGTGCGGCGGCGGCACCTTGAGCACGGCGAGGGACATGCGCTCGGGCATGGTGAGCGCGGCGAGCTCCGGCCGCTGCTCCTCACCGATGCCGATCGAGGTGTACCCCCGCGCCGAGTGCCCGTCGAAGAGGTCGTAGTCCTTGTACTTGCACTGCTCGTACTTGCTCACGCCGTTCACCTTGTATTCGCACTTGGCCTTGCACGTCGTGCACGCGTAGACCTCGCAGCCAGCAAGGACAGCGGAATCATCACGACGGCAGAGGAAGACCCGGTCCATCGCCTCCTGTTCCTCCAGGCCGCCATCCACCAGCTCGGAGATCAGCTTGTCGATGTAGTGGTTGAAGACTCTGTACGCACGGCAGCCGCTACGCTGTCTGATGTCTTTCACCCGGATGATGTCGCCGCTCGAGGGGTAGTTCAGCATGCCGCACCTGTGGGCCGGGCATCATGTAAGTCGATTGTATGGTTGGGGTGGGCGGCGCTGCGGCGCGCGCGAGTGAACGGGTCGGTGTGTGGCGCACTGGAAGCAGCAGCGAAGCGGGAGCTCGTTCATCTTCGCGAGTGAGCGCTGAAGCTGGCGCTGTTGCGCGTCGTCGATGGACTCGAGGCGCGAGCCGGGCGTGAAGCTGCTGGCGGAGGTCATGTGCGCGTCGAGGTCGGTCGCCATCCGGTTGTGCTCCTCGGCGTCCGGACGTGGGTTGTACGCAGCCCTTGACGCGTCTGCGCGAGCGGCACGTAGGGGCTGGCCTCCTGCACGGTTAACGAGTCGGGAGGGTCGTCCGCGGGCGGCAGCAGCTTGAAGAGGACGTCCTTGTGCGGCACGTTGGTGATGAGGATCTTCGACGTCGAGTTGAAGAGGTCGGCCAAGCGCGCCGTCTCGCTCTCGGACACGTACTGCAGCGCCGCCGGCGACTCGACCGTCTGCTCGGCGTAGACGAGGTAGAGGGACGCGGTCTCCGGCTCCTTGCACGCTCCTCGTCGAATGGCGTCCTCGTCGAACGGCTTGAAGCTGTGGGTCACGGGCCGGGGCGGGATGAGAGAGACGGCGAGGGGCGGCTCGGGTAGGACTATGGCTGGCACCTGTCGAGCCACGCGCTCACGTTGGAGAGGAGGTCGGCGATCGAGGTGCCACTCTGGACGTCGAGCACGTTGTACGTTGTGTGCCTCAGCCTGGCCAGATCCGAGTTTGCGTCGAGGAGGAAGAAGCGGGTGTCGTTGATGCGGAGATGCCACTTCTCCGGGATCCGCACCTGCCTCGCCGAGGGCCCGTATTGCGCCGCGGTCGGGACGCGCCCGTGGTCGATCCGCTTGCCGTCCCGCTGCTGCAGCGGGACGACCGAGCCCTCCTCAATGCGCATCGGCGGCACCGTGTGGTTCGCGGCGAGCCCAGAGAGCGGGAGCCGCTGGAGCGGGACTCTGCCAGCGGCGCGCCGCAGCGCCTGCTTGCCGGCGTCGTCGAGGTTCTCGTCGTCGGCGATCGCAGCGCGCGCCGCCTTGGCCACGGCGGCATCGTTCTGCTGCGGCCCGCTCGGCCGTGTTTGCGGGTTGCAGCATCGCTCCGCCAGCTCGAGCCAGCGCGACGTCTGGAGCTGCTTTTGGCGAGATGGCAGCGCCCGCTCAGCGACGTGGGCAGGGAGCCGCGAGCGCAGCTGGTTAAGACGCCGCTTCATCGCGGTCTCGCTCCGTGGACCCGAGACCGACATGATCATCGCCGACTTGAGCGGAGCAGTGGGGACCTCCAGCGAGACCCAGAAGGCGTGGAGCAGCTGCCGGTCCTCTTGCTCCGTCCACGGCTCGGCGCTGCCCCTCCTGCTCCGGTCGCATGTTGAGAGGTACTGGTTGATAGCAGTCGAGACGTCGTCGTCTGTATCGGCCGGCGAGTCGTCGACACCGTCTCCACGCTCCTCCATGCGCGCCTTCAGCGCCGCTGAGCGTTTGCTCTCGTCGGGGTCCGTGCACTCCATCACCGCAGTTCGCACGCGCTCAGGGCTGAGCTGCTCGGCGGTGACATTGCAGATGGCCTCGACGAGCTGAGACGGCATGCGCTCTCGCAGGTCCGACTTGAGCCGCGAGAAGTGCATCTTGCACGTGTCGGCTTTGCGTTTGCCCACGGTGACCTCGCTCTTTTTGCTGCGGTCCAGTGTTGCACGCCAGCGACGCATAATCAGCTCGAGCTCGTCGACAGCTTTCCAGCCATTGGTCGTGACGGCGCGCTGTCCCGGCGGAGGGTTGTGGCGAGCGCGGAGTGCGCCCACGAGCCCCTGCAGTGCAGCCTCCGGACTCACTTCCACGGATGAGCTGCACGCGTCCGACATTACGACGTCGGGGGCGGCGTTGGGGGTCGGGGTGGCGTCAGAATGTGGTTCGCATTCACCGCAGCCGCCGAGACCGTTGTCGGGAGTCGGGGCAGCGGGGTCGTGACTGCACGATCCGCGTGACCCCGCACATCCGCACCTGTTCGCCCACTCTGGAGGGCGCAGTGGCGTCGGAGTTGCCGGCATCCATGTGTCGGTCAGCAGGTCACATCTAGGGGTCCCTGAACGTTTCCGCAGGCGAAAGGACAAGACGAATTTTTAAACGCACTTCACTCTTCACAGCCTTGTTGACAAGAAAATACGTCCTATGGGGCTATGCGTAACGCATGCGCTAAAATGAAGGCGGGCATCGTGGTTGGATGCCTGCTCAAGGTGGTCGACGAGCGCGAGTTTGGTGGCCACGGCCTCGAGTTGAGATGACCGAGGCTGCCTCCCCAGGCGGCGCGGACGAGATACCGCTTCACACCGACCGATACGCCGTACCGATACCGCTAGGCTCTCCGGCGCCCCGTACCGCTACCCTCCTGTAGCGAGAAAACAGTTCGCCGTACCCGAGTCGCCTCTCTTGAGCACTTGTGACTTGACCCCGGATAGGGTCGATTCTGCATGGTACGGGACCCCCCGATCGTCTCGCCCTCCCTCACTGGAGTGTTCATGGGGGGGGGGGTCATAACAAACACGGTACAGGATCGAGGTGCACGCTGCCGAAGCAGTGTCGTCCCCCCTCTCCCCGACGGCGATGGCGGTGTGACCGATCGAGCTACAAGAGGAGCTTGGTCAGCAGGATCCGGGATAGTCTGGCGCACTACCTCACTGGGCCTGCGACCGCCGCGACAGCATCCCATCACCCCTCCGGGTTTGTGTGCTGTGTGGGGTCGAACCACTCCGGGATGGGCAAGCCCAGTCTTAATTCAGTTTGGAGACGGGCCGTGAGGGAGGGAGTAGAGGATGTAGAGTGTAGAGCGCTGTAGAGCTGTAGAGATGTAGAGCACTCTGGAGCGCTGGAGCGCTGTAGAGCTCTACATCCGGCGCGGGACGATGTGAGTCCGATGTAGAGCGATGCAGAGCGCGATTTTGTTGTAGAGTTTGTTGTAGAGGCTCTATATACAGCCAAACCGCCGGGAAGGCAGTAACTCAAAGAGGTCGAGCCGCGCTAATGGGGTGTCTCCGAGCTTACTGGAGCTCTGATGGACGGCCCTGACTATCCCTGACACACAGAGAGTCACTCTGACGGCACACAACACCCTATGACTGCGTCATGACCAGCCTGCCATGCGTCGCCGGTGCCGCATTCGTCGCTGTGCTTCTTTAGCAGGCGGTGGGCTGTCGGCTGCGAGGACGGTCGCATTTGCGCGAGGCGAGGCGAGCATTGCTGCGCGTTGCATGCGCCATGTTTCGCCAGCGCGTGCGGGAGCTCCTGGCTGAGCGTTGAGTCCAGGCGAGTTGCGCTGGCCACGATCGCTACGCCGAGCCGAGCTGACGCGCCGAGGCGCCGGCCAGTCGCAGCCGTGAGGCATGCCACAGCAGCAGAGGCACCTGCCACCCATTGGGCGGGCAGACAGAAGGCCAGGGCAGCAGCCAGCACTGGCAAGTGCAACGCGCGCCTCATGTCGAAGAGCGACCGTGCCTCGTTCGCGGCTTATGATGTAGAGTTTGTTGTAGAGATTTCACGTTGTAGAGCGCCTCTACATCGCTCTACATCGGACCCACATCGTCCCGCGGCGGATGTAGAGCTCTACAGCTCTACAGCGCTCCAGAGCGCTCTACATCTCTACATCTCTACAGCGCTCTACACTCTACATCCTCTACACCCTCCCTCTCAGGAGACGGGTCAACCCAGTGGGGACCAGATCACGTGCATCTCGTCGTAGCCGGAGGGGATGTTTAGCCTCCATCTGATAGACCCTCGTCATCTTCTTCGCCAACGCGGCCATCGACTGGCAGTCGAAACTACTCAAGGTCATGCTGTCCTCCGCCGAGGCCGAAGTTGGGGCCGGTGCCTTGGCATGCAAGCGGGCGATCTACCTGCGGCACCTGATTGGCGAAGTGACTCCGCTGCCCGCCTTGCCGATCCCTCACATTGTCGACCACTCAGCACTGCCACCTCTGTCCGAGAACCTTGGCGTCAGCCGCAAGACCGAACACTTTCGCCGCTGGCTTCACTTTATGCGGTACTGCGTGTTGCACAACTACACGTATGTGCACTTGACAAAGTCCGAGCACATGTTAGCCGACTCGCTCACGAAGGTTGGAGACAAGTATGGCTACCACTCGTTCCTGAAGGCTGTTTTCAACATTGCATCTTTCAAATAGCCATTCTTCTCCGACTGCTAAATTTGGTACGCGATTCCCAGCCGCTCGAAGTGTCTACCGACTTTGAGCCGTTCTTAAATTTTGGGTATTTAGCGTGCCACAAGAGACAAGGGTTGGGCGTGCTCCTCACTCCCTTCGTTGCGTTCCTCTGGCACGGGCGCTTCATGTAACATGCTGAGGCTTGCTCCGCCTCCGAGCGAGGGAGGAGCCTACAGACCGTATGCAATTAATTTCCTGCGGCCAGGTTGCTACTCCGAGACGTCGGATAAGCACCAACGGCCAATGCACGAGGGGGTGTCGGTGGAGACTTGTTCACACCGGTATGCCTTGCCCTTTTGGTGCTTCTAAGTAGACGGCTATGCTCTTAGTAGACTGTGGATGTGTTCACAGTCATGTGTGGAATTTCGGCGCCGAAATTCCTTTGTCCGCGGCGTCTTTTAGGCCGACGGACTTTTAGAGTCTTGTACAGCAGTGGCGGTCCGCTCACTGCGGTTTCTCTTGCTGCCGGCTGTCCGCCGACACTACCAAAATCCGCATTCGGCAAAATTTGCGACCCGAAACTGGCATGGCGACTGCATGCTGACTCCGCGGGACACACACTCCTCCGCGCCCGTGGATCCCGAAGCGTTCATCACCGCCGTGCTCGATCGGCTTCGCGCCACTCTTGGCTCGGACCCGGACGACGTGGCTAGAGCCGTGCACCGACTCGCCGCAGCAGCCACGCGGCCAGAGCAGCCGCCGCTGCCTCTGCTCGGCGAGCGCATGCGGCGGCTATTTGTAGAGGTGTGCCTGCACCGGCTCCAGTCTGGGACCGTCCCTCCGTGGAGTGCCGACTCGCGGCCGCTCCAGGACGGAGCGCGCGCGGAGGCCGCCCTTGCGCAGGTGGTGAGCGGACCTATGCTGGTCGGCGGCGTCGACAAGTGCTGGATCGCGCTCCTCCGCGCGCACTTGCTCCGCGTCTACCTCGGCCATGGCCTCAGCGGCGCGGAGCTCGCTATCGACCAGGGCGCCTACCCCACCGTCGGCGCGCTCGTCGCCGGTCGCGGCTGGCTCGCGGGCGCAGGCGCCGGGGCGGCCGAGGCGCGCGACTGGAACGTGCACCGGTTGCAGGATATTCTCGCCGTCGTGCCCGCGTATGTCCGCGTCGCGATCTGGGACGCGGTGCGCGTCGGCGCCCCGCTCGCCGCCTCGGCCTCCGAGGCGGTCATCACCAGCAAGATAGTCGACTCTCTCGGTGGGCTTGCGGGCTTCTTGGACCACGCGACCGTCGGCAGCCTCGGGCTCTTTCACCTTACGCACTCGTTTCTCGTCAACTGCGCCTGTCCGCCCGCAAGAAGCATCGCCGAGTCGCGGCTCGCCATCCTCGAGTGGGCCGTGCAAAATTTTGATTGAATGTCAAACATGATGCAGTAAATATCGTGCTTGCGTATGATAGCAACCCCTCGTCTGACGGCAGCGTCCGCCACTCCGCCCGCACGCGCGCCCGTCACGCCGCATCGTTGTCTGCCTACACCGCTTCGGCCGCAGCCTCGGCAAGTGCCTTCACACGCGCTGGGTCAGGTGCAGCAGCACCAGCAGCCAGTGCAGCAGCAGCAGCCAGTGCAGCAGCGAGTGATCACGCTTGCACAAGCGGTGGGCGGTCGTCATGTGCTGCGCGATGGGTCACTTTGGCTAAATCCGAGGCTGAGCCCGGGGCCTCGAGGGGCTCTTTGCGGCGGCGGCGATGCGAAAGGTCCAAAAGGATCTGGTGTCGATGAAGGTGGTGGAGCTCAAGGAGGAGCTGGGCGAGCGTGGCGAGGCCCTCTCGGGCAACAAGGCGTGGCTGCGCCGCCGGTTGCACGCCGCTATAGTGAGCGAGTATTTGGAGAGCGCCGCGAGCGCCGCCGGAGAGTAGAATGTCCAAAATTTTCGCGCAGGCGGCGCGCGGCTTTTACCATTTTGCCCCGGTCGGGCCGTGACTTTTGTCGTTTTGCCCCAAATTTACTGCGCGCAGTGCTTTTAGCGTTTTGACCCAAATCTGCCGAACTTTTAGGATACCCTCAGACTAATGTCTATGATTACAAGGGGGGGGGGGGGGGGCAGCATTGAGGCACGAGGGGGACGGAAGGCGGCCAAATCGAGCGGCCTTGCGGCGACGCGTGGGGGCTGCTCTTCATCTTAAGCATCGCGGGCGACAGACGCGCGACAGCCCCACGGCCACGCGCTCGAACGCGCGCTCCGCCCACGCGCGCGGCGTGGACCCTCGTGTACATGATAGCGCGGACCTCGCACGGTTATTAAGTAAAAACCGAAACCTCGCAGATATATATAAAACCTCGGCACCTCGGTCCTCTCGCGCAGCAGATCTCTAGTTTACTCTGCGGCGCGCCCACACTTCACTACCTGAATCACGGCGCGGGCGCCGCAGGAAGAGGGCGGGCGGTTAGGCGGCGGCTCGTTCCTTCCGGCACACTGTCGTCTCAGCCAGCGCACACTCCCCACACCTCAGTCGCCTTAAAGAGGAAGACGCTCTCATTTGGGTTCGGCCCGTCGGGCTCCACCTTCATGCCGTCGACCGGGGCCACCACCACGCGCATGCCGGCGGCCAGGGCCGGCGCCGGCTGCGCCTCGCCTCCCTCTGAGACGCGGCCAGGGCCGACGTGGAGCACTGTGCCATATTTGACCTCCTTGGGCTTGAAAGCGTCCAGTGAGTCGTTCGGGTCGTCCGAGAAGGCGGTGGGCATCAGGATCCCGCCCGCGGACTCCGCGGGTGAGCTGTCCAGCTCGACGACCACCATGTCAGCAAGCGCCTCGAGCAGCAGAGGCGGCGAGGCGCGCGGGGCGGCGCGCGCGTTGGGCACGCCGCTGCGCAAGGCGCTGCCGCCGATCTGCAGCGCCTCGCAAAATTGCCAGCCGGCGAGCAGCAGCAAGGCACGAGCGCGCATTTTACCGAGTGTGAGACGTGTGGAGGTTCCCCATGCCAGTTTCGGGGGGCAAACCCTGTCCGGCCCCTAGAGCCCCGGGTAAGGCCCAGGTGGCCTAGGCCATCAGAAGGGACCAAGAGGAGTCAGTCTGAGCCATAGAGCCCATGTCTTTGCCCCCGAAGGTCGCGTTCAAATGCCCGGAACGGACGTTACAGTGGTGTCCGTCCGGCCGGCGCGATCACCGAGCTGTGACGCTCAGGGAAGCCGGTTGAGGTACTGGTTTCTTTGCCCAGGGCTGGCCTTCCCCCCAGGCTGGATCAGCTGAGCAAGGTTTGGGGAGAATCCCCCGGTCAGATCTTCAGATATTTTAGCCCCCCGCTACCCAGTTGCACTCGTGCGACGTAGCGGGGGGCCACAACTACGTTTACGAAAACATAAGTAGTCCCGCGAGGTGTGAATTGGCCGCCCCAGTAGCCCCCTTTCCATCGAGTTGGTTTTTCGGCGCGTCCCCAGAGCGTCCAAACTTGTTTGGGCGCCAACCGTATCTCGCAACGAATCTCGCCGGCCTCACCGGCCCTCTTTGCGTTGACCGACGCCCGTCCGCTCGACTGCCCGATGAAGAGCGACTGCGGCCCATCACCCGCCTGCCGATCACCTGTCCGCCTCGCCGCGCGCGGGCCGCTCGCCTGCTCGCCACCGCCGCCGCGTTTCCCCGCGCCGCCACGCTTCCCTGTGCACCTGACCGCGCTCGAGCTGCGCACAGACGGCGCGCTCTGGCAGACAGAGCAGCGGTCCGCCCAGGCGGTCGCTGCTCCGCCCCGTCCGCGTCCGTCCGCCCGCGCGTGCCACTGCCGCCGCCGCCGCCGCTCCACCCGATCCCCGTGTGTCGTGAGAGTAATGCTTTGTGTATGGCAGATGGCACCCGCGGGTGACCGCGGTGTGTCCCCCGCGCGTGTGTGTGTGGACTTGTCACTTGAGCCTCTATGATTCGTAGACCATCTGCGCAGCGCCTCGGAGAGGCGCGCAGGAGGCGCGCTTTGTTCTCGGGTTTGGATGGTAGCGGGGGGCCCCGCCGGAGGCTGGTTACTGATGACGGATGACCGAAAATGGGCAAAAACTGCTTGCTGTCGGCTGAAAAGGCGACATGATGGTGTTTTACCGCCAGGGGTCGCGCATGAGTGAGGGCGACGGCTGACGATGGGGCGCATCGAAAAGAAGTCATACGAACGTTACGACTTTTACGGGGTTCTGGTCTTCCTGCCAACGCGTCCATCTGTGCGCCGTTCAACACTGGTTGGTTTGCACACAATGTCGATGCCAACGACTGCGTCCTCCTGTACCACGGACGGACAGGACACGTCCGCTTGGCACCTTGGATTTGCCTCCGGGACGAGTACGGGCGCGTGTACTTCGGCAACCTGATCACCCGCGTCACGCAATGGTATCCTCCCAAGCTGTGGATGCAGGAGAACATCGCCCGGCCGCCCCTCCACGACATCGATATGTCTTGCCAACGGGTCGACGACTTACGGTCAATTGCGCTTTGCCTAGCCTCAGCGCATGCGCCACCGTCGAAGCTGACCCGCCTCGTCAACCGGACGATGGTGGAGGGTGGGGCACCGTACCGGAACTGCATCGGGCTGCCTCACTACCCGCCCGACTCGTTCGACAACGACCTCACCTTCCCGATCAACGGGCACTACGAGCGTATCAATGGGACGCTCTGGAAAAAGATGTAATCTCTTTCCGCTGCACCTTTGGCATCCAGATTCCCAGCCGCTCGATTTCGTTGTACCCCTGTCCAACGATATGGATTTCTTTCTATCGACTTCGAGCCGCTCCTAAATTTTGGGTCTTTACGATGCCACAAGAGACAAGGGCTGGGCGTGCTCCTCACTCCCAGTGTTGCGTTCCTTTGGCAAGGGCGCTTCATGTAACATGCCGAGGCTTGCTCCGCCTCCGAGGAGCCTACAGGCCGTACTTACAGAACTATAACATGAGGCAGTGCTTCTCCCCTTTGTTTGCACTATGACCTGCCGCTGCTTCCCCCGAATATCGGATGGGCACCTGCAGGCCAATGCACGAGGGGGTCTGTCAGTGGAGAGACCACTTCACAGCTATGCCTTGCCCTTTAGGTGCTCTTAGTATGTTCTTGAATTCACCCGTCCCTGACTGCCTGAGTACATTCCCTTCGTATTGTCTTGTACTCGGCGTCCTGTGGGTGTGTTCACAGTCTTGTGTGAATTTCGGCGCCGCCGAAATTCAAGGTCCGTCGGTCTCTTTTGACCGCGGCGTTAGAGAGATCCTTTGCTTGTCATGCTTTTTGGCTTCTCTCTGGCGCTCCCGCTCCTGGCCGGCGTGTATACGCCGACAATGAATCAGCGTCTTTCTGCTGGCATCACGCATAGGAGAAGCCGAGAGGCACGAGGTCCTCCAATTTGCCGGATCAGCAGCGCGGTCTGGAGCGTAGTTGTGGCGTATGCATTTGCCCCCCGCAGTCTGAATGGACCAACGCCCGAGCTCATACTGCGCTCTGTGCAGCCTTCTCATGCAGTGAACGGGATCGGCGAAGTTGCGCCACCACTATCGTTGTCGTTCCTGCCACGCACCACCTTGAATAAAGACACCGGCTTGAGCGGCCGTGGGTTGAGGCACACCGTAGTCGTTCGCAGGGCGCAACAACTAGCGATAGCGCAATATTTGCCAGGAGCTTCAGCCGAGGGCTCGCTGTCAGTCGATCGGGAGTCACTGGGATGGCTTGCCTGCCTTCTCTGATTGGCATGCGAGGACGATGTGCTGTCGTCGAGGAGCAGGATTGCTGGTTGCTCGTCGTCACTCGATGCGTGGCTGGGCGAGCAGCCCTGACCCGGCAAGCTGTCGTTGTCGGACTTTGCCCAGGCGACTCGACAGGAGTACTTATGAGCCCAGCTAATAATTTGACGCTCCTTTGTTTTTTTTAAGTGGAGTTCTAATTGGAGTTGGTGCGCGTAATTTTCTGTGCTCCGCGCTAGGCCTCCTCTTTCTTTCAGAGAGAAAACATCGCGCGCTCTCGCGGGCGCTCCCAGCAGTTACGCGTGCAGCCCTCGGCAGCTGCAACGAGTGCGGTGCTCGGCGTGCTCTCGCCTACGGTGCTAACTGACGCAGTATGGCTGCAGGGACAAGCACGGAGGCGATGATGACCGAGCATCCACCTCTTGCCGCACTGCCTGTGCCGCGCAACGCTGCATTCCAAGAGCACAGCGGGGCCTGGGGACGATTGACTACTACGGCAGACTACGACTGAGCAGGCGAGTGAATGACGAATTAAGAAGAGAGGGGGACTCGACCACCTCACCACAGAAGAGGCGACGGCTCACACACGAGAGATCAAGTTTGTCAAGGCATCACAAGCTAGCACATCGAATACCTAAAGACTTAAAGGCATCACACTACAAGGAACGCGGCTGAGCTGACTCCCTGTAGGGGGCGCCTCGGTGAACCAGGGACTAGGATCTCGTGCAGACGACACAGGGCGTGCTGCGCCCCGCGCGATCCCTGGCACAGAGGAGGCTGAGCCGCCGAACTTAGGATGCCTGCAAAGGCTGGCGAAAGCCGGCGACCCACAACAGCATATTTTCAAGTTTAAGAAATATTCTGTCTAAAACCGCGAGCTACGAGTACGAGTATCCGCCCTGCAAACTTGTACACCCGAGTTTGGCGCTTTCGGGCTGAGAGTCAACTGCCATGGGCCCCGACCAGTACGGGCTGGCTCGCTTTGCTGTCGGTATCTGCGTTTGTCGTGCCACGTGTCCGCAGGCCGCGCTCCGGCGAGCCCGACGCCACAATGCAGGCTTCCGGCGGAGAAATGGCGCAGCTGTCTGTGCGGTCGCACTCGGAGTTCGTCGCGCTGCCGCCCAAAATCAAAGAACTGATCTACAAGCAGATGCCCGAGTGGTGCCTCTCGCGATGGCGCTCAATCTCAACGACGACGCGGGACACCGTGGCCGCCGGCAGTGTGCGCTTCGCCCCGCAGTGGTTCGTGGCGGGGTGGGGCCCCACCAGCCCTCGCGGCAGCTTCCCCTCGCTGCCGGATGTTGCAGAGCATCTGTCGCAGGTGCTGCGCCTGCTGTGCCCCCTGTCACGCTCTCATTGCACCACTGACCAGTCTCGGGTGTCGTAGGTGGATAACGCCGGACGCTGTGCCGGAAACTGTGGCTTCGCCCTACGTACCCCGACGCGATGGGCAGGAGCGCTCATTTGGGCAGTTCGCGTTCATGTAGAGAGCTCAGGGTGCGGAGGCAAATGTTGCATATACGCATGAAAGGCAAGGTAAGCTTCTCCACACACACAAGATGGTGGGGCAAGGGGGCGGGCAACCCTCGCGCGACTCAGGTCCTGCAAAACGGGCCCTGAGAGTTTTATGTATGTAAAAGAGGAATGCAGAAGATTGGACAGGGGAGGGACCGTCCAAAGGGGGAACGGAGGGATTTTGCATCTCGGCTGCATCCATGGGCCAGGGAGGCGAATGTAGACAGTGAGCGGCTGACGTCCTCGCGGGCGTGGCTGAGTACAGCCGACACTACGTGCTGCGGCAGCCCGCGGAGTCGCAGGAGGCGCGGTGGAGCGGCTGCGCTTGGACGCGACGGCGAGGCTGGCCGGGCACGCTGTCGTCGAGAAAGGCACGCACGTCGAGATCCTGGGTTCGCAGAGGAGGGTTCGTGTGGATGCGGTCGAGTACGACGGCTACCCGGACGCCGAGCGTCTCCTCTCGTTAGAGGAAGAGACGTGGCTAGGCAGGTGACGCTCGGCGCCGGCAGCGCGGCCCCTAATACCAGCGGCGAGGCGAGCTCACTGGAGAGCGTGAGCCGTGGCGTGTGTGCGGGAGCCGCAGTGCGGAGAGAGCAAGCGCGAGACCGAGAGACGGTTTTGTGATTTGTGTGTCGTCGATCTTGGAATTGTGAATTGGAGACGACTCTCGCAGTGACTTCAGACTTGGATCTCTCCGATGCCCGCGCCCCGGCGGCGGGGGCTGTGACTCTGAGGCAACTGGCAGTGCCTATCAGAGAGTGCCCAACAGCCCGACAAATCACCTACCTGACAGCACCTGACAGCCTGACAGCCGGAGATATTAGTCAGAGTACAGCAGGCGGCGAGTGCAGCCTTGTCCGAATACCTTATTAATGATCATTTGGGGGGAAGAGTGCGGAGCACTTGAGCCTTGACTCTTGGGTAACCGTTTGATATATTTATTTACTTATAGCGAGTTACAGCACGATGAGTGCTAGATCGGAAGATCGATTAATGTTAGACAGCAACGGCTATCCGTGCTGCTGTGCGCCCCCTGGTGCTAGCGTGAAACGCGCGTACACCGGCACATTGTCGGCCGATGCGCGGCTCGCCGCCCACCCCACGCGGTCCCTAGGTGTTAGCATGAAAACCGTCCGTGAAGGGCTCCTAGGCCATCACTGGGTCCACAGCAGACGGACACACAGCCTCAGCCGGCCCGGCGGGCTCCCGACCAGAGCGGCAGAGCCGTTCAGGTGTGGGCACAAACGGACACTCTGCCGACCTCTACACCCCTAGACAATCCACCCCGACTAGCATACGGTGTCAGCCCGACCACCCTGCGGCCCCAGCTACCAGATGGCGCCGCTCGGCTCGGCTGGAGTCGCCTGGAGCGCCCAAAATCGCGGAGCCGGCGATGTCCTCCGGCCAGCAGCCGGATCGGGCGTCCGACCCGCCCCCTCGGCGACCCGAGATGCTTTCCCCGGCCCCCGAGGCTTGGTACACCGCGGGAGGGAAGCAGCCCAGCCACCCTACACCGCCCAGGCCGCCTCTACGAGCCCAGGCGCGCCGTCGAGAGTGCCGACGCGACGTCGACGATTTTGGCCTGCGAGACGGAGGCGAGGAGCGGCGTGAGGGCGCCATGTGCCCGGGCGACGGGCTAAGGGGCCGCTACACGGGCCGCAGAGCTCACCAGCGCCGGCACGGTGGCGCTGGTAGCAACGATAATGCTCGTAGCCGCCTTTGGCAGTACCTGACCGAGGGCTGACTCGCGACGGCGACGGGGCGGCGAGCTGGGTGGCGGGGTGCGGGGAGGAAGGAGGGGACGCGCCGCGAGAGGGAGGGAGGGGGGCTCTCACGTCTCGCTGGCCCTCCCCGCCCCCCACGGGTTCGGGAGGGTCGGTGGTGCTGCTCTAGGCGGTCGTCCTGGGTCGCCAGACCGGTCCTGCGGCGGAGTCGGAGGGTGAGGACCCAGGGGCACGGCCGTGCGGCGGAGGGGACGCGCATCGCGCAGCTCGCAGCAGCCGGAGAGGGCCCGAGCCCCGCCAGAGAGTTGACCACCGCTCAGGCGGAAGAGATTGCGTCGCTGAGGCTGCGCTCTGCGGCCATTTTCTACGCCCGATGCACGCCTGGCCCGGGAGGGGGAGGGGTTGTCAGAGAGACGCGGCGGGCCGGGGAGCGAGGGGACGCGCGCGCCTTCGAAGACTCACTCGCGGTGCCGGCCGGCTTGGTGGTGTCGTCCCTCTGAGCCGCAGGGGCCGCCAGCACCGCTACGGAGGCGCTGCCCGCCGGGAAGGTGCTTGGGAGGGGCGCTGGCTACTCCCCGGCGGCGCCTGCGGCCAAAGGGACGAAACGTAAACGTCTCAGGGTGGGTGGTGCGCTCTAAGGCGCGCAGCCAGATCAGGTTCATACTCTTCGCCACTGCTGTCATTCCAGACACGCCTTTGACCCTTATAGACCCTCCTCCGCTATGTGCTTGACCACCAGTCACGGGTTCCTCTGCAAAAGCGTACCAAAAGTGGAGCGGTACACTTTTGGTACACTCGTGGTACACTCCTGCGTGTCAGCTCTGTGGCGGCGGCGCCTGCGCGTGTCGGGCACGGGTCGCTGTCAGCCAGCGCGAGCTTGGAGCCTGTGGCACATGGGTTGACCACCAGTCACGGGTTCCTCTACCAAAAGTGGAGCGGATAACGCGCGTTACACTCCTGCGTCAGCTCTGTGGCGGCGGCGCCTGCGCGTGTTGGGCACGGATCGCTGTCAGCCAGCGCGAGCTTGGAGCCTGTGGCACGTGGGCGTCGGGCGCGGCGACGCGCAGCGTCGGACCATAGGAAGCGAAACGACGGAGGAACTTCACTTCGAGTGGCCACTCGGTTTAGTCAGTGTGCACCGAGCCACAGAGAGGGAGAGACAAAGCTCGCTTCCGAGCTATCACGCCGCGCGTCGGGCCCTTAGGGGCCTCGAGAAGAACACAACCCCCTCTGATCCCCAGTGGTGCGGGTCGTTCACCGAGTGGCCACTCGGCGAGTGGCCACCGAGTGGCCACTCGGTTTAGTCAGTGTGCACCGAGCACCAGAGAGGGAGAGACAAAGCTCGCTTCCGAGCTATCACGCCGCGCGTCGGGCCCTTAGGGGCCTCGAGAAGAACACAACCCCCTCTGATCCCCAGTGGTGCGGGTCGTTCACCGAGTGGCCACTCGGCGAGTGGCCACCGAGTGGCCACTCGGTTTAGTCAGTGTGCGGACCGAGCCCCAGAGAGGGAGAGACAAAGCTCGCTTCCGAGCTATCACGCCGCGCGTCGGGCCCTTAGGGGCCTCGAGAAGAACACAACCCCCTCTGATCCCCAGTGGTGCGGGTCGTTCACCGAGTGGCCACTCGGCGAGTGGCCACCGAGTGGCCACTCGGTTTAGTCAGTGTGCACCGAGCCCCAGAGAGGGAGAGACAAAGCTCGCTTCCGAGCTATCACGCCGCGCGTCGGGCCCTTAGGGGCCTCGAGAAGAACACAACCCCCTCTCCCTCTTCTCCCAGTAAGCTAAAAGGACAGGAGGAGGAGAGAGAGAGTGGCCACCAAAAAAGTGGCCACCGACGGTGTAACCGTCGGCTCCGTGACACCGAGTACACCGAGTGCCCGAGTGGCCACCGGCCGAGCCAATGGACTGGTCCATGTGGGTGTACAGCGGTGGCGCTGTCGGCTTGCCCGCGCCGACTCCCGCCAGTGGTGCGGCTCCCGCCGGGACCGGCACGGGCACCGGCACTGGCAGTGCCAGCGACGGCGGCAGCAGGGCCGGTGGCGCCAGCAGCAATTTCGACAATGGCAGCGAGGCTAGCGGCGGCGGCGGCAGGACTGGTGACGACCGTAGCAGTGTGGCTAGCGACAGTTGCAGCGGCGGCGGCGGCGAGACCAGCGGTAGCGGCGGCGAGAACTTGCTTGCGGTTCGCCGCGGCAGCAGCCGCCCGCACACCTGAACACAGAACAGGGCAATAACGCGTAGCTTAACAGACGAGATGCGATGATCAGTGTTGGCGGAAGCCTCACCGCTGCGACTGCTGCCCGTCGCAGCGGTTTTTGACGTCGGGTTCACGCTCGTGGAGCCGTCCGCAGGGTCAGCGGCTGCCATGAGCTGGTCCGTGATTTCATGGTGCGCAGGCACCTCCTGCGTAGTAGACAGGGCGTTCTGAAGCTCTGTTGCGATATCTAGATACGCTCCATCATCTGCGACGGCCGCTTTGTGTCGAGTCCGCGAAGACGCTGTGGCACGCCGTCTCCCGGGGACGAAAAAAGCGAGAAAAAATCGTGGTTGAAGTTTGATCTTGTGATCTCTGCAGTTCCCATGCTCCCAAACGTGTCCCCAACACGGGGGCATGCACTCCGCAGCCTCAAATCCCGCTGTCGCTACCCGTGTTTCCACACCCAGGCTCAAAAAAAACGACCCTGAAAAAAAGAAAGAACACGGACAACCCAAGGGAGGGATGGGAGAACGGCACGCCGCCACCACACAGGGATTTTAAGGAGAGGGGTGTGGTGCGCTAGCCGTCGCCCGCCCTTGGGCGTCCGCCTCTTCCTATCTCTCTTCGCAGTCTCTCGCCGATTCTCGCTGCAACCTTCATGCCACCTCGCGGTCGTCCCACTCTCGTCGTTCTTTCCCAAAAACCGACCCCTAAAAAGAAAGAAAGAAAGAAAACAGACAACCCAAGAGAGGGCAGGGTAGGCTCCGCCCCACTGTGATTCGGACTGAGCGACGGCAGGACCCTTTGAAATCATGAATGGCGGCGTCCGGTGAGGCCCACACGGCCGGGGGTGGTAAGTGGGTGATAGGAGGGCCATAAACGACCATCACACCGGCCACCGGACCCCTCCACCCCCCCAAACACAGTCCAAACCGGCCCCGGCGGCCGGCGGGACGCACGCCGGCGCAGCACCATCAAGCTGCTGTACGGCCCCGGCATCGCCTCCCCAGAATTAGCTCTCAGTCAAGATATTGTGCACATGGGTGGTCTCTACAATATACTCACTGACACTGAACCTCCCAGAGCTCGTCCCGGTCCGTCACGGCCATCCTCGTCCTCCGCGGCGCCGGCTCCGGCCCCTCCGCCGCACTGTGATGAGCGTCGGCAGGACCCTTTGAAATCATAAATGGCGGCGTCTGGAGAGGCCCCCACGGCCGGGGGCGGTAAGTGGGTGATAGGAGGGTGATAAACGACCATCACACCGGCCACCGGACCACTCCACCCCCCCCAACACAGTCCAAACCGGCCCCGGCGGCCGCCGTGCAGGAGGCCGCCGGGGCGCACCAAACGGCCCTTCACGGCCGCCATACGGGCCACCACGGCCCGTCCCGGTGGCATGGGTGCCGCCGCGCACCCGCCCGACGCCCCCGGCCCGCCAGCTCCCGCTCTGGGGGGCTTCACCTCCGCCAGCGGGCCGAGCGTGCCGCCTTCTCGCCGCGCTGCGGCCGCACGCCCGAGAAGTGGCCGAAGGGCGACCTACGCGGCACTAAAATCACGACTAGAAGCGCCGCCCGCCAGCAGGCAGCTTGCCCGCCGCGCGCCGCGCGCCGCCGCAGCCCCCGGCCGGCGCTGGAAGGGCTATGCCGGCCGGTAGCCGCCGTCGCGCCGCCCGGCGGCCGCGTGGGCCGCAGCGGTTGGGGAGGCGGCGCCAGGACGCTCCGAGCGGAGCTAAGAAGAGCCTGGGCGCGGGGTGAGGGCCCGGGAGGGCGACGTGGGCCATGGTGGTGGCGTGGGTCCCCGGGGCCGGCGTGTGGGGTCCCGGGGAGGTCGGTGGTGGAGTGTGGCAGTTGGGGGCTACAACGGAGGAGGCCGTCCGGAATGGTGGAAGGGAGGGGGGGTGACGGTGTCACAGGGGGTGCCGGACCGGGAGGCGGCGATAGCGTTGGCGGCGGCGGCGGCA